TATCTATCTCTGTCTGTCTGTCCACCTGTCTCTCATCCATCCAACCATCCATCCATCCATCCATCCCTACCTATCTATCTCTATCTATCTATCTATCTATCTATCTATCTATCTATCTATCTATCTATCTATCTATCTATCTATCATCTATGTCTGTCTATCTAACTTGTAGGTGCTTTATTTCAATTAAATTTGTATATATCAGGGATTGCATGAGCTCTGTAGATGCCACATCCTAAATAAAATAAATAAATAAATCCCTACTCCTGAGGCAGGTTTATCTTGAAACTACCCTGAGTTCTCCAGGGGGAAAAACGTTCCATAGGAGAGATCTGTAGCCCAGTGGAAGAGTGGGGTGTTTACAGCCACAAGGAAAAGTTCTAACAGTTACTTGTTAACTACCATCAAGTTGGATCTCTGTCCCCACTGTGCCACAATAAATTTTTGGCCTAAGAGGAAAAAAAGCAGATGATTTTAATTGATTGGTTGACTTTATGTCTGGCTTCACAAGAGTCTGCAGTTAGACCTCAAACCAGAATGAATAGAAATATTATGAGAACAGCTGTAACTGTATAATAATAAGTGCAAGTCCATAAGAATGTAAACCACACTAAGGACCTTGCTATTTATTTATTTATTTATTGGTTCGATTTATAGTATATGCCGCCTTTTTCTGGAGACTCAGGGCGGCTTATAATGCGTTAAGCAATAGTCTTCATACTTTTGTATATACCTGCTTAGTAGGGCTTTCACACACACACACACCCCAGCGGTGTTCTTTTTTATACAAAGTCAGCTTATTGCCCCCACAAACCGGGTCCTCATTTTACCTCCCGTGAAAGGATGGAAGGCTGAGTCAACCTTGAGCCTGGTGAGATTTGAACTTGCAGTAATTGCAGGCAGCTGGTGTTACTTAACAGCGCTTTAGTCTGCTGTGCCACCAAGGCTCTAAACACCCCTTGTTTTTGCTTTCATACAGCAGGGAGTAAAATTGAAAGATCATGAGAGGATGTACGGATAGTCCTGGACATATGACCATTCCTTTAACAATGATTCAGAATTATGGCAGCCTGGGAAAAGTTACAAAGGCTTTACATTTTGACTCTTAGAAGGTTCTGATTATAAGTATGAGAAAGCTAAAAAAAATGACAGACCCCAGCCCTTTGTAGGATTCTAATTTTTTAAAACAACAATAACAACTGACACATGAGTAGTGTCAAATGCATCCCTTACAAAGCTCTTAAAGTCCTGGGGTGGAATATGCACGCTCAGTTGGAGAGGTTTTTTTTTAAAAAAAAATAATAATAATAATGTGCTTTTATGATCTAACAAAAGAAGAAGAATGGTCTCTGAAGCAAAATGTCCTTTTGTCTTCCTTTATAGCCTTGAAGGGTTTTGTAGAATCAATCAAAAGATAAAGAATTGGGTCCTGAACAGGAACAAAGATGGGAGTGGGAGTAGAGAAGCTAGAGAGATGAAGAAAGCCTTTTCAGAAAAATCCTTTACATACTATTGTGTGTGAGAGGCACCATTCAACCTGTACTATTGTAAGCACCCTTATCCCTTCTTGTCAGGTGCAATTCTACAGAATTAAGGCAGCTCCAATCATTTTCTCTTGGTCTCTCCTAGCTTTTGCTCCCATGAGAATAGATAGGAAATGTTGGAGGAGGAGGAGGAGGAGGAGGAGGAGGAGGAGGAGGAGGAGGACTCAGCTCCTTGCAACTGGAACCAATGAAAGAAAGCACTATTGATGTTAGCCGCGATGCTGACATTGCAATGCACTAGACATAAACTCAGATTAACCGATTAACAGAGTTGGAAGGGACCTTGTAAATCATCTAGTCTAGTTTCTAACCCTTATATTTTATGATTCTCTGAGGCTGGCATTCATACTGGGCATATAAATTTAATAAATAACTGAAGGCCAAACCTTCCCCACCCATCCTTAACAGATACTTAACAGATTAACAGGATTGGAAGGGACCTTGCAGGTCAACTAGTCCAACCCCCTGCCCAAGCAGGAGACCCTACACCATTTCTGACAAATGGCAGTCCAATCTCTTCTTGAAAGCCTCCAGTGATGAAGCTCCCACAGCTTGCGAAAGCGAGATGTTCCACTGGTTGATTGTTCTCACTGTCAGAAAATTTCTCCTTATTTCTTGGTTGAATCTCTCTGTGATCAGTTTCCATCCATTATTTCTTGTCTGGCCTTTGGGTGCCTTGGAAAATAGCTTGACCCCTTCCTCTCTGTGGCAGCCCCTCAAATATTGGAAGACTGCTATCATGTCTCCCCTGGTCCTTCTCGTCACTAGACTAGCCATGCCCAGTTCCTGCAACCATTCTTCATATGTTTTAGTCTCTAGTCCCCTAATCATCCTCTTCTCTGCACTTTTTCTAGAGTCTCAACATCTTTTTTATAGTGTGACCACAACTGGATGCAGTATTCTAGATGTGGTCTTACTAAGGCTTTATAGAGTGGTATTAGTACCTCACTTGATTGTATCCCTAAATTGTTACTCCAATTTAGGGTTGCATTGGCTTTTTTGGCTGCTGCCAGACACTTCTGGCTCATATTTAACTTGTTGTCCACTAAGACTCCAAGATCCCTCTCACAGTTACTGCTATTAAGTCTGGTTTCACCCAGTCTATATGTGTACTTTGGGTTTTTCTTGCCTAGGTGTAGGACTTTACTTTTATCTACATTGAATTTCATTTTGTTAGTTAGGGCCCAGTGTTCAACCCCACTTAATATAGTTAGAAGGGGCCAACTAGGCAATCAAGTTGAAATCTCTGCTCAGTCCAGGAATTCAAATGAAACATTTCTGTATAGTTCTTGAAAATCCAGTGAAGGAAGCTTAACACCTCCCTCCCTTTAAGGGCCAATTAAAACACGGTGGTTTATTACAGGTAGTCCTTGAATTACAGCAGTTCCTTTAGTGACTGTTCAAAGTTACAACAGCATTGAAAAAGTGACTTATGACTGTTTTTCACACTCACAACCATTGCGGCATCCCCACAGTCACGTGATCAAAATTTGGATGCTTGCCAACTGCTTCATATTTATGACGGTTGCAGTGTCCCGGGGTCATGTGATCCCCTTTTGCGACCTTCTCACAAGCGAAGTCAGTGGAGGAGCCAGATTCAGTTAACAACCATGTTACTAATTTAACAACTGCGGTGACTCACTTAACAACTGTGGCCAGAAAAGTTGCAAAATTGGGCAATAAGTGTCATCATTAGCAATATAAAGTTTGGGCTCAATTGTAGTTGTAGGCCAAAGAACACCCGTAATGACATACAGTCTCTATAAGAAGGAGAAACGGTAAAGAGCAGAAGAAGCCAAGGTTTTATGAAATCTTCTGGAACAGTGTTTCTCAACCTTGGTAGCTTGAAGATGGGTGGACTTCAACTCCCAGAATCCCCCAGCCAGCAACGCTGGCTGGGGGATTCTGGGAGTTGAAGTCCATCCATCTTCAAGCTACCAAGGTTGAGAAACACTGTTTTCCTGCATCGCTGCTCCGACATTCCACTTCCTGGGTAATCTTCAGTCCTATTGGATCGACTGAGTGCCAATCAAACTTCCTCCACAGCCTGGACACTCCCCCTTCATCTGCGCATGTTCAGTCTTTTCACTCAGTCGCTGGTGATCAGACTGGTGTGCCTTTTTTTCTGCAATATTTAGCGATAATTTCGGCTTTTTTCAGGAGATTTCTACTTTAAATTGGGCGCTTTTCGATTGGTGAGGGCTGCGATCACAAAAAAGACCTTTTGAAAGACGCGCTGGGCGAGCAGGCGTTTCCTGAGCCAGCAGCGCTGGCTGGGGGATTCTGGGAGTTGAAGTCCACCCATCTTCAAGCTACCAAGGTTGAGAAACACTGTTCTAGAAGAAAGATATGAGTCCCCAAGTGATAGATACAGATTACACAAAATTTAGAGATGACATCAGGAAGAAATATTACTCAGCCTGATTTCTTCATTGCCAGCCTCTTCCAAAACAAAAATAGAAGAATTTAGATTTTTTTTAAAAAAAAATAGAACAAAGTAAAACTGACAGATTTACCCAGCCCTAGTTGAAAAACACATTTTTATAATAAATGTTGCCCATATATTGTTACTATAAAGCAATTTATGTAAACGCAACCCCTCTCATTATTTACCACTCCTAAAGGGTTACCCAAGAAAGTCATATAAATTTTATGTAAACTCTCTTTTATCAGATATGAATGATTCAGCAGCATTAAATATTACTACTTTTGTCAAACGGCAAGTAAGAACAACAAAATACGATTTTATTAGCTGAGAAATAGATACACATGAAGACGAGCTAGTAAATTTGCTGAAATTGCTGGAATGACTGTCTTTCTATTTTTATGCTTTTATTCTACTGGCCAGTGGCCCTAATAAATATTTCTTCTATTAAAAGAAATGCTACCAATGGAGTTTGCCTTCCATTTTCTTACATTCTCCCAGTGTTTTTAATATTTTCAAGGGAGTGACCAGAATAGAATAGAATAGAATAGAATAGAATAGAATAGAATAGAATAGAATAGAACAGAACAGAACAGAACAGAACAGAACTTTATTATGGTCATCGACCAGCAATAGACATACAATAAATTAAAAATAATTCTGACATTATTCGTGAATAATAACATCTCTGTGATAAAATGAGGAGCCTGAGAGTTCAATTCTCGCCAGGCTCAAAGTCGACTCAGCCTTCCATCCTTTCTAAGGTGGGTAAAATGAGGACCCGGTTTGTGGGGGCAATAAGCTGACTTTGTATTGCTATTGCTATTGCTTAACGCATTGTAAGCTGCCCTGAGTCTCCAGAGAAGGGCGGCATATAAAAATAAATAAATATAAAATATAAAATACATGATCTCAAACCTAATTTACATGCGTGTAAGTATGTGAGTAAATGTATTGTTATCGATCTCAAAAAATTGGCACCAGTTGATATTATAATTCGGTAACCAATTTTTTTCTTGTGGACATTGCAGCGACACAGAGTTTTGCCACTGCATGCGTGGAAGCCGGATTAGAGTCTTGGAGGAGAAAACCTACATAAAAGTCATCTTCCTCCCTGGCAATCTCTCTAGTAAGGGGAGAATGTATATTGACCTACATACTCTGTATAACTCACAGTACAATAACACATGTGAGATATCTTCGACTTCTCCCTTTCCACATATACATACCCGTTCTGCTATCAGTGTTCTCTTGTACCTACCCTGGAGAAGTGCTGAGGGGAGAATATTAAATCTGGCTCTGACGAAAGCTATTCTTTATTTTGGGAAGATCAGATCATTTAGATATCTTGCTGATTCCCACACACCCTGCTTGATTCTGTCCCTACAGTGGAGAGGCAACCTGCTTAGTTCTTCTTGGAACTCCGTGTCCTTCATTCTATCAATTACCACTTGCTTTGCTTTGTCAAAGCCGAGGGATGTGAGGGCGATCTGGCTGCGACATCTGTCAACCCCATTGATCGCCAGGGTTGATTCGGAGTGACCAGAGGAAAAAAAAAAAAGACTGAAATATATCCTGTAGGACAGCAGTCCCCAGCCTTTCTGTCTTTGTGGACTGCCACCTCCAGAGGCAACTGGGGCAGGGGGGGAGGAGATGGTTTTGTGCCCATGCCTGCCCTTTGCACAAACTTCCTGCTACTTGTGTGGCCTGGTTCTTTATGGGCCACAGCCAGGGGTGGGCTGCTCTGGGTTTGCAGGGATTCGGGAGAACCTCTAGCTAAGACTCTGTGCAGTTCGGAGAACCCCCAAATCTCTGGCTGGCCCCGCCCACCCAGCCCCTCCCAGGAGTCCCCACATGGCCCATTTTGGATGCAGGTAAGTGCAGGGTGCACACGGAGGCTCAGGGAGGGCAAAAAACTGGCCTACCTGAAATTCGAGCCCTCCAGAGAGCCTCTGGAGCCTGGGGAGGCTGTTTTTATCCTCCCAGAGGCTCAAGGAAAGCCTCCGGAGTCTGGGGAGGACAACCTCCCACACACATACCAACTAGGCCACACCCACCATGACCACGCCCACCCAGCAACCGGGCAGAATTGGTAAAATTTTTGAAGCCCGCCCTGGCCACAGCCCAGTATCAGGCCATGGCCTATGGGTTGGGGAGTCCTGCTTTAGGACATCTGCAAATAGAAATACAATCCCTGGACCTATTATGACTTTGTTGTTATTTTAAACTCTCTTGGTTAGATTTATTTACTGAATCATGACACTGATAGTTCCCTTTCCCTGTAGATCCTGGTAATCTTGAAAGTATTCTGAGCTAAAGTACAAAGACTCAAACCAGATACTTCTACAGCTGACGGTGGATCACATGTCTTCAGTTCCATTGCAATTGTCAAGTCCTTGTCAGAATGCTGCCATTCTAGGGGTGGGGGTGGGAGGCTTCGTGGGTTTAATGTTTTGCATGCTTTCACTTTTGCTGTAACTGCTTAGGAGTTTGAGGGGAGAGAATCAGCCATCTGCACAGGCTCCCTCTCAACCGGTTCTAGCCTGGTATTCAAGGTGGTGGCATTCCGAGGACAACCTCATCTCACCATCCTGCCTTGGAGTTTCCAAAACACATTCGCGGCATTTTATTGGCTACCAATGGTAGCCAATGGACATGGGGTACGAAGGTCAGGGTTGAAGGGGAATGTTAGCCTAATGCTTCACGTGAGAATTTCAGACTCCGCCTAATGTAAGGACCTGCCTCAGCTACCTTTTCAAGAAAGTAAATATCTTGAAGCGGTTTGCATTTCAAAAGGAACTTTTACTGAAAGATTATATCATGGAAAACTCTTGGGTGTTGGGGTGTTAGGGTGCTTTTTTCCCCACTGTTGTTTTGATGTAAGTGATTCCTTGTTTTTGTTTTATTCCCCCAGGCTCACATCACAATCCTAAAAGTCCCATTGAACTTAAAAATGTTTTATTATGTATGTACACATTAAAAAGTCATTCTTTAAATCTTGAGGGTTGCTATCCTTATTTGCTTTAACCTTAAAGTTGCTTTGCTTTTGCATTTCTTTAAAAAAAGAAAAACAAAACCAAACATTTGCAAATATCTATACACCCAAATATGTTGGTCAATGTTTCAATGGGATTACTATTCTTAATGTACTTTTCAAGCATTTATTTATTTATTTATTGGTTCGATTTATATGCCGCCCTTCTCCAGAGACTCAGGGCAGCTTACAATGCATTAAGCAATAGCCTTCATACTTTTGTATATACCTGCTTAGTAGGGCTTTCGGGCCCCCCTAAGTGGTGTTCTTTTTTATACAAAGTCAGCTTATTGCCCCCACAATCCGGGTCCTCATTTTACCTACCTCGGAAGGATGGAAGGCTGAGTCAACCTTGAGCCTGGTGAGATTTGAACTTGCAGTAATTGCAGGCAGCTGGCAACTAATTGCTACTTTAACAGCACTTAGTCCACTGTGCCACCAGGCTCCTATTTGAGTCCTATTTGAGTGTTGTTTCTCTGCATCCATTAAAAAAAAAAAAAGAGGAGGGGGCATAGAATTGCTGATTGCAATCTTGACGTAGATCATGCTACAGTATGCTTTCTCTGGTGGGGAAAACAATTCATGGACTAAATTGAGAACGGGAAATTTTTCATCCCACTGTGCAACTAAAGAACCAATCTGTTTCCTTTCTGTTCAAAGCATTTTCCTTATTGCTACAGTTCTTTATTTAACAATGAAAATATCAAACAGAATTAGTAGCAGAGACATATGAGCCTGCTAAAGAAGGTTCTCTTAAGCACACCATCATTAAAAAAAAGAGATGTCAAGGTTTTTAATTAGAAAAGCCTGTGGTGGTTAAGAAGGAAGTTTATCTTTTACAAAAGGTTTACAAGCATGTGTCCTTTGGGGGCTAATTCCTACTTCGTTAGTTGTGTTTTAGCACTTTGGCCAATCATATCTCAGAAGGGAGAGAAGGCTCCCTTCCTTTTTCCAAAGGCCATCCATCCCCATCATGCCATCCATAACTGGGTACCATTCATAGGAAGAGCTAAACTGCCATCATTTCATTTCCTTCTGACATCAGTAGCTCCACCAGATCAGTTGAAGGATGGACTGAGTGCTTTGGTTAAGTCCAGTTTCTAGCTTCTCATATAGTGAACTGAAATGAGCTCTCAATAATGCATAAGATTAGTTTGACACAGTGTTTATGGACCTCTGCAACTGTAAGATGCATGGACTTCAATTTCCAGAGTTCTCCAGATATATATATATATATATATATATATATATATATATATATATATATATATATATTGCTATAAGAAAAACTTTTAAAGTCCCTGGTAGGATTTTAGCTGAGGTTTTAAAGACCTTGCAGAGTGCTCTGTAAGGATTTTTAGAAGATTTTAAGCTGGGATTTTAACCAGAATTTTAAATATTTTAACCAACTTATTTACAATGATGCAGGAAAACACCCGAGATTTTAATTTTTTGCATATGCACACCCGCATATATAAAATATATATAAGTTTATTAAAAACAAATGGACATGGCAACAAAGAACTGGTTATTTTACTTTCGTATTGTACACACAGTCTTCATCAGTTAGTTGGATTTGCTGTTGGAAATTCTGGGAGTTGAATAATATATCACAAGAACGTCAAGTTGGGGAAAGCAGCAATTACTAACAGCAGCTCTCCAGGGCTTTGAAATGAAGACTTTTCCAACTTTATCTTTAGAGAAATGAAGGATTCAATCTTGGAACTCTGACATATAAAAGATGAGTTCTGCTCCTTAGAGTCCTTCCAAACTATGATATCAGAACACAGATTTTCAAAACTAGCTTGGCTCCTTTCCGCATTGGTGGCAAACGGATGTATATAAAGCATCACAAAACTCTTGGGCAGATGGGCCTGGTGAACAAACCATGTGCCTTTAGTCACAAATAGCATGTCATTTGCATCTGTCACTTTGACAACGATGAAGGAGATCCATCCCCAAAATGTACCAGAGATGTTCAAAGCAGACTGCATCTGCCTACCCTTTGAAACAATATTGTGTCCTCGGGGAGTCCTTTGCGGGTAGGGCTTTGAGAATTGGCACCTGTGTGCTCCATTTTAATATGCATTTCTTATTTTAATCAAACCTCTGTAAACATCAACCCCTTGAAAATAATAATCAGCATCAAGAGGTGCCTTGGCAAGCTCAGGGAAGACAAATTAAGATGCTTTTCTTTTTCCAATGCTAATCTTCTCCTAATTAGTCTCTATTAATATTATGTGGCAGACGGCTCTGCTCTTGTATGTGCTTGTGTGTTTCCCTCCACTGCCTTGCCAGTAGCAGAAATCAAATTGCAAATGAATGCAATTTTTGTACAGTCCAATAATCTATATCTCCAATCTCTCTTTCATCACCATTCTGCATCCTCATTTTGGGGAACCAGGTGGATTTTTTTTCCCCCTTTTCTACCCTTGTGTAAACTTTCTTTTCTTTCTTGATGGAATGCGACATTTTGGTACGGTGAGCTAACTGCAACACTATTCTCAGTAAAAACTGAGAAATCATTAGGAGATAAAAAGATTATTCAGGAAGTGAGGGGAGCCGAATGTCAACTTGCAAAGCTTTCAAGTTGCCATGAGCAGGAGGGAGGAAAAACTGATAGAGCTGATTGATTTCCCTAACTGAAGTGCATTCCATACATTCTTCCTGACCGCAATCAGAAGGAGGGTGTTGGATTTCACAGCCAGCCAAAGTGGTTAATTGGAGAATGTGATTTATGACATGGCCAGAGAGGAGGGGAGAGACAGGGTTATAGGGGAACGTAAATCTACGTGGGATTAGTTCTAACTGCATCCGAATATTGCCGAAATGGTGCCCCTAATAAATGATTGTATTTCTTTTGAAGTTCGGCTCACGCCTCATGAATTAATTAGGGGATCTTTCGGAAACTTCACAGATCGCTATTTTTGGTGATGTTTAACGGCTTTTTGATTGGGACTGTTTGATGGTGGTTATTTCTGGTAATGTTTAATTGTTTTTTGACTGGGACTGGTCTTTGATTATTTTGAAAATAGGAAATAAGAGGGGATTTGTTTAAATGGAAAGGAAGGATTTAAATTGGGTGTAAAATTATTTGTAATAGTTATGTTGTTATTTCTGATAAACCTTATGGGACTTTTGCTGATTAATATGGGGATCGGGT